GATAGATAGATAGATAGATAGATAGATAGATAGATAGATAGATAGATAGATAAGCAGGCAAGCAGCCAGGCAGGCAAAATAAATACTTCTTCCTTATAATCTTTCATTATAATTAAGAGGCCACTTTTTGTTTCTTTGTTTGTTCATCTGAATGAAAGTTGATTTTCCCTTTCCAAACCTCCCAACCCCCTTGGAGGCAACTGTTTTATGGATTTCTTGTGGGAAGCCTCTGTGTGAAGATTTTTTTTAGTGCTGATCAGTTCACCACTTCTTGCTCCATCATGTTCATCAGTTCCTCTTCAGTCTGCCGTTGCTTCCCCAGTAGTCCACATACAGTAATATTGTGATACGACAATGTCACTCAAGTCTGGGCAACGGTAGCTCTCTAAAAACTCTGTAGGCTTCTTAAATCTGCTTCCAAACAGAGACACTTTTTCCTATTCTTTCTCCGTCTTTTTTTTCCACACACACTTTTCTTTCTCCTTTCCCCAAAGTAGTTGTTTTACACTTGGTGTGATTTGCCTGAGTTCAGATTATGTTCTATGAGTTGAAAACAGATCGACAGGATTGTTTCTAATCGGAAATTACAGTCTCTTCTTAAAATTGCTACAGATAGTTGTCATGTGTCTAAGGAATACTCAGTATGACGCTGACAGAAATAAACTCAACTCATGCTATCTCCTGGAAATATCTACTAACCGTATTTACAGAGGCAAGATGGATTAGAAACATAATTGAAGAAAATGGCCTCCTGCACCAGGAGCAGAAACACTTTTGTCACTGACTTTTTAAAAAAAAATATTCAAAATTGAGCTAAACCCCCCCCCCATTTCTTATCTGTCCCTCCAGATAACTTCATCCTTAATATTATACCACTCGCCTTCCCTCGATTTAATGACCTCCCCAACTTTTGTCAAAAATAATTGATTGAATTTAAATAATCTGAAAAGTTTAAAAGGTAATGTTAACAGTATATATTTCCTACCAAACACTAAGTAGGGAAATATCCATTAGTGGAATTAACTACAGTTTCTAGGTAGCTAACAGTGTGGTATATACAGTGGGGCTAATGAACGCTGCAGTGGGTGATATTTCATTATACAAATTAATGCTCACATTTTAATGGGAAAGTCACATAATGAATCTCAGCTTCACTGACAGCAATTAGAGGCACAGATTGTCCCCTTCTGGACAAGGCACTGTTTAGCAATAAGCAGCTGTGTAAAAAGTCTTCAGGTTTGCAACGTATATACATATATATGCTTTAGGGAAAATGGCTGTACAGTTTATATTAATGTACTGAAGCTTCAGAGCTAAGAAGCATCCATATTTATTTCTTCTAATATTAACTATGTAAAATATACATTGAGAGACTAAATAAATATTCGGGATAGGATTTAAATTCAATTATGTGGCTTTGCATGAAAAAAAAATAAGAAAAGAAAGAAGATGATGAGGAAGGTTTAAATATTATCTAGCTAGTTGTGCAACAGAACAGAATGTAATAGAAATAAGAATCTTATATCCTTTTTCCCCCTCCCCTTTGTTTTTTGGTTTGCATATTTCATGGTAGCAAGGGAGTAAAAAGAGTCAAAATGCAATTGGTATTTCTGACAAACAGATGAGCTATGTGGGGAACATGTGCACGATCCAAAAATAATCCCACAGAACCTTTGATATTCCATTTGGTTTCAAAAGTGTGAAGAGAGTGATTAGAATGATAAAAGAAATTACTGAGTAGGAACAGGCAGAATAATGAAGTAATTAAACCATGCTGCAGTTCTTTTCTGAAATACCTTCTCTTGCCATTGATGAAATAGATTATCAATATCTTATTAATTGATTGAATGGCTTTTAAAAATGCACATGGTGTTCAGTATGTGTATTAGAATCTATCAAGGGACATTTACTTGTTCATTTCATTATCCAGTGATAGATTAGTAATTTTAATTCTTGTGGATAAATGATAGTCCTGGAAGTCTTAGGATACCATTTTCCAGACAGAGTTGCAGAAGACCTCTAATTAAAACTGGACAGTTAAATGGGCAGTCTGACATCTTTTCCCCTATTTTGATCAATTTCCAGCAGCCTAGAGTAGCATGGTGAATTATAAAGGATTATGGGATTTGCAGTCCAAAACATTAGGTTGTTTACCCAAACACAGACAAATCTGGGATAAATGGAAAAATGGCCTCATTCAGCGTAAGGCAGTCTTCCATAGATTAGAATGGGTCCTCCAAAATTCTTGAAATGTAATTCCCATAATTGTCCAGTTCAACTGTCTTTGAAAGTTTAGTCTCTACATTTATTTACAATACAGTACACTTCGACACCTTTTAAGACAGTCATGGAAATATAGCACTTTTATATGTATTGAATTTTTTTGGATATAAATTCTTACCAGGAATCCTGAATCTATTTTTGTCTCATGTTAATTCTGCATTCAAAAATATTTTCTATCCCTGTTCCACATTAATGCACATTTTGACTGGAGATGGTTTTGCATTTGCAGGCAGAATAATATGCATTTAATTCAAATTTTATTCAATTAAAATTTGTCGTATACCTCGCATTTTGCTAAGGGTCTTCTATGCCTTCAAGCTAGGAAGTAGAACAAAATTCAGAAGGATGTTTTGTCTGGATGGACTAACTGTTGGCCACTGGTGTATACTTCAATGATTAGAACTTAGAAAAGCAGTACAGTGAAATAACAGAGAGAAGCAATTGAGTCACAAAAGAAAAATTCATTAATAATGGCAATGTTAAATGAGCAAACATTGGTGGGAGTTTGAAGGTTCTGTGCAGCTTCTTAGTTTTCCCAGCACTACGTTCTTCCTGCAATCTGTTGGAGCCCTTCTCCAGTTTAGCAGTAATAGCTCCGAGTTACCACTTTGGCCTTCAAGTTCTACATCCTTACTAGTTACTCCTTCAGGCCCTGGTACTTCTCTATATATATGTTGGAAGGTCCGGTTAAACCCACTCTTTGAATTTTTTTTTTAGAGAAGACTTGATACAAAATAAAATGTCAGAGGCCTTTTACTTTCTTCACAAGTAAATTGTGAAGCTCTGGAAAAGTTCAAATAGAATAGAGAATAGAATGTAATTCTTTATTGGCCAAGTGTGATTGGACACACAAGGAATTTGTCTTTGGTGCATATGCTCTCAGTGTACATAGGAAATAAAATAAAATACATTCATCAAGAATCATAAGGTACAACACTTAGTGATAATATAGGTTACTAATGAGCAATCAAATCATACTAGGAAACAAATAAAACAATATAAATTGTAACTGTACAAGCAACACGGTTATAGTCATAAGTGGGAAGAGATAGATAATAGGAAGGATGAGAAGAAGAATAGTAATACAGTCTTACTAAGTAGTTTGACAGTGTTGTGGGAATTAGCTGTTTAGCAGAGTGATGGCATTTGGGAAAAAAACTGTCCTTGTGTCTAGTTGTTCTGGTATGCAGTGCCCTATAGCATCTTTTTGAGGGTAGAAGTTGAAACAATTTATGTCCAGGATGTGAGGAGTCTGTAGATATTTTCACAGTCCTCTTTTTGACTCGTGCTGTATACCAGGTCCTCAATGGAAGGCAGGTTGGTAGCAATTATTTTTTTCTGCAGTCCTAATTATCCATTGAAGTCTGTGTCTGTCTTGTTTGGTTGCAGAGCCAAACCAGACAGTTATAGAGGTGCAGATGACAGACTCAATAGTTCCTCTGTAGAGTTATTAAAATGTTGAACTTCCTCCTCCACATTGTCACCATTCTTTCCTGAAACTACTTAGAATGTCTTGATCTTTGTTTTTTTAAGAGATACACATTTTAAGCTGTGTCTGTTTCCAGCATGGCACCCACTAACAGCGTTGGAATGATAGCTCCCTGATTCTGCTGAAAATTGCTTTGCCACCTAGACATTCTAGGAGTTGCCCTTCCAACATTCTGGAAGGCCATAACTGAAGGAGACAAACACATTTGCACAAGTATAAAGAGCCATGGTGGTGCAGTGGTTAGGCTAACTCTGCATTCCACTGCCAGGAGTTCAATCCTGGCTGACTCAAGGGTGGCTCAGCCTTCCATCCTTCTGAGGTCAGTAAAATGATTGTGGGGACAATATGCTTACTTTGTATATTGCTTAGAGAGGACTGTAAAGCACTATGAAGTGGTATATAAGTCTAATATATACATATGTATGTATTACATGTACAACTCAATACAGGGGAGTCTTAGGTGCTCTCTAACCTTTCTTGTTTTCTTGCAGACGTTTGATTACCCTAAGTAGGTAACATCATCAGTGCTAGTAAGGACAGTAACAACTCAACATAGCTTAGTTATGTTATGTGTGTATTTATTTATTTTATTTTTTACTTGACATGGGGACAGATGAGTGAAGTAGAAAACAAAGAAACAATGTTAGGCTACACAGTTCACAGACGGCTTGTCTTAATGCTTAAGTCACTGAAGAGAAGAAAGAAATGTCCTTGTTATTAGATTGCTCAAAAAAATAATTGTTGTTATTGACAGAACACCATTAAAAGAAGCTTCTAAGACTGTCAGACTGCTGTCTGTTTCAGTGACAAGTCCAGCAGTCATGTCTTTAAAGAATAATTTGATAGCCGCTCAAGCAACATGCCTATAGATTCACATTCCTGTTTGTCTACCCTGTTTGTTTTCTTTTTGGGGGATGTGTATGAAATATATGTGCTGGAAGACCCCTACATTTCTTTGAAATCAAAATCAAAGAACCATATGGACTTTGCACTAAAATAAAATGTAAAACCACAAATATCATATGTATTTTAGAATGCAGCTTAAGCCAACCCTTTCTCTTTGAAATAGGTCTTATTATAGGTAAATTACAGATTTCACCACTATACAATAGAAGAATCATTAGTGCAAATTTAAAGCATTGCAAAAAAGAACAACAGTAGATAATATTAATTGAAGGGCAACAGAATCTATTTTGTACCTTTTCATTACTCCTTTTCTCTTTAATTTTTATCAACTACCTTTTATCTTAACTATATGTTCTTAGCCTGGTGCAGTTGCAATGCACTAAAATCGTATTAATATTTTATAGATACCATATTTATAGTTCTTTATTTGGAAACAATGCAGCAGGTCTGCAGATCCTTGAATCCTTCTGGAATGGTGCTCTCCAAATAATGATAAATTACTTGTGCAGAATGCCATTTGCTAATTATATCCATGATTTACTGCAGAGCAAGACTTAAATCATTCATTTCAGTCTTGCGTAACAGTGCCATAAAATTTTTAGGTTTAAAAATGGTTTCCATGTGTATAATTTAAACAAATTTTAGTGCTATTGTATACAGAAAAACATTGTAGTCATCCATTTGTTACATTCTCTCTCTCTCTCTCTCTCTCTCTCTCTCTCTCTCTCTCCTCCCACTCACTGCCCTCTGCTTGTACTTTTAATGATCACGGTGTGGAATGGTGTTGCTTCCTTTTCATAATCCTAGCTTCTAATTCTACAGCAGCTTTAGTATATTAGGTTAAAGAAGAGATGGTTGATTGTGTGCTTATAGCATGTCAAGCTTGTAAGAAAGCTGTTTAAAAGAGGGGAGGACCTTAAAATTTTAATATAATATTAAGGAAGAAATTACCTTGGGGGTGGGGGAATGGTTCGTGGTGGCCATTATTGTTGTAGAAGTGTAGAGCTCTTGTGTTTTGTTTCATTTTTTTTTCCTCCAGTAAATTTGCCTTTTGATAATTGCAGGTGAGAAGCCTTACAAGTGTCCCCACTGTGATTATGCTGGTACCCAATCTGCATCCTTGAAATACCACCTGGAACGACACCACCGGGAGCGGCAGAATGGCGCTGGGTCACTTTCTGGACAGTCTCAAAGTCAAGAGCACAAAGAGGAAACATCCAGTAAAGGGTCCATGTTCGTGAGACCTGAAGTATTGAGAGGAGCTTTCAAGGGTCTTCCTGGCATAGATTTCCGAAGTGGGATGGGATCTCAACAGTGGTCACCAGGAATGCTTTCCCCAGGAGATCATCCAGGTCATTCAGCTGGAATCTCCTCTGAGGTTTCTTCAGATAACATGAAGGACACACCTTCCAAAGGGACACATTTTTCTGACCTGGGCCGAGCATATCATAGTATGGTTGGAAATGCAGTAAACTTCCAAGGGTCTCTTCAGGCTTTTATGGACAGCTTTGTCCTCAGTTCCTTAAAGAAAGAAAAAGAAAAGAAAGATAAAGTCCTGTCCAGTTGCCTTTCTGCAAAACTGTTGGGTTCAGAGACTAGTGAGGAAAAGGTCCCCATTAAACAGAGAAAAACAGAAAAATCACAATATGAACCTCTCGATCTCTCTGTCAGGCCAGATGCAGGCACTCTTCCAGGTTCATCCATTACTGTTCAAGACAATATTGCGTGGCATGGCTGCTTGTTTTGTTCCTTCACAACCTCTTCTATGGAACTGATGGCTCTTCATCTTCAAGCTAATCATTTAGGCAAAGCAAAACGTAAAGATGGTGCTCTAGGATCAATTAGAAATGGTAAAGACCAACCTAGGGAGGTGGTGGCTTCAACCAATAAAGCCAACCTGCTACCAACTTCTTTACAGTCCAATAAAGATTTAGCAGTTTCAAATCTGATTGCTCAAGTGGATGCTTCTGAAAGAATGACCCAAGCATCCAAGGATTCTCCTGGAGAGCAAAAGAATTCCTCGTGGCCTGGTCACGTGGACTCTACCTTTTATAATTTTGCAGCTGACTTCTATAAGCAATTTGGCGTCTACTCTGGCGTCAGTGGAGCACACAATTCTTGTACCACTGCGGACATGGACCTCAAAACCCATTCTGAAGATGACCCACTCATGATGCTTTCTGATCCCATCAATAAAAATGCTACTGATGACCTGTCCGACATTGCATCCTCTGAAGATATGGAGTCTTCCAAGGAAGAAACTATTGATGAGGATGACCTTGAACCCGAATCTGACCTTATGAACCAACCCTTGCCCAACCCAAGCAAAGATAGCAGTGACAGAGGAGACAGCCTACAAAGCTCCATAACCTCCAAAAACTCACAAGGACTCATTTCTCCTTTGCCATCTTCTGAAAAGCAATGGCACACTTTGAATCTGCTTTCCCCCCAAGAAGCCGCACAAGTAGTCATGAAACCCGAACCAACATCAACCCCACAAGTCCTGGAGAAGCAAGTAAACATGCTGTCGGTCCTAAGAGCCTACAGCTCTGATGGCTTAGCAGCCTTTAATGGACTGAGTAGTAGCACAGGAAGTAGTGGATATATCAAGAGACCTGACTTGTGTGGTAAGTTTTAGAATCCTTCTTTCAGACCATTTCAGAAAAAAAGAACCCCATACAAAATGACTAATAAAGTTTAGTTATATTTGTTAGAAAATTTGGCTTTCAAAAATGTCTAAAAATGATGGGATAAACGCCTTCTTTGTTCTAGAGCATGGACCTCTGTTGACTATAAATGGTGCTTCTGTGGAAGAGCGTGGCCTTTTAACTGGTCCAGGCCATTCAATTAAAAAAAAAATTACATTCATGTATTTTTTAATTAGATTAGCAGTTATATAAGAGGATTGTATTTATAATATGTGATTGGGACATTTGCTGCTTCAATGTTTTAGCATTCTGATTTGGTTTTATTTTTTTTATTTTTTTTAAACTGATGTGGTAACTTGCAAACTTTTCAGCATCTGAACTGAGGAAAAGACACTGGACACTTTGTTAAGCCTTAGCCAAATGTGCTTCCCCCCCCCCCCCCACACAAATTTCTTTATGTTATATAAGAGTGTAACACTAAAATAATAATAATCCAGTGAGCTATCCAATATGTAGTTATATTTTTATAGGGAAATTTTGAAAGTCCTCATCAGACAGTCTTCATTCATTATTTTCAAAAATTAAACCACTTACTGTTTCAGTTTTCTTATTGGAAATAGTGTGATCATCAATTAATACAATGGATATGATAGACACATGTATTAAATTGAAAAAAAATCCAAAATCATAATTATTCTTGAGTATATTTATATAGTTACAATTTTGCAGTAAGTTATGATTTTTGGAGTCACCAAATGGCAGGATATTTTTTCCAGATTGTCTAAGTATATGGGGTTGACAAATTGTCTAGCCAGAGTGAAGTAGTTTAACATGTGACATACACACACGATTGCCCTGTAGTTTTGGCATGATGGATTTTGATTGTGGGCAGATTTGGAAGTTGTTGTGGTTAAGAGCCACCACTTGGGGACTCCAATATCCATAGATAAATTTAATACCATTTTTATTCATTACTTATTTTAGTTAAAGCTTTTTTCCCCCTTTGATCACCATATAACCCATCAGCAAGGAAATAGGCTCATAGTCCTCCTGGAACCCCTTCTGATGCAAAATGACACAAACATGGAGATCCGAGGATTCTATTAATCCATCTTTTAATATCTATTTTACACTCTTCAAGAACAGAAAGAACTGCAGAAAGTATGAGTCAACATTCCAATTGTCCCCAGTTAATGGTGATTGTCACCGCAAAACAAGTGATAATCTGATGTTCCAGCTCCACTTTGGAGATGGTTGAGGAGCATATAAATGCATTCATAGTTTTGCTAGATGGATACCACTCCTTCTATCATGAAAGGAATGCTTTGAAGACTAGCTGCACATGCCCTGAAATGCTTCAGTCAGATCCAAAATAAATTCTGACAGCACTGCACCAAGAAGAAAAAGTCTTAACAAAGCAAAAGCATATAGTCTTAAGTTCATCTAATGAGCCTCAATGAGTAAAACAAGAGCAACCAGCTTACAAATACTATGGGTTGGTGGAGAGACAACTTATGCCATTCCTCTCAAGTTTGTGATTCACAAATCCACACCCTTCAAACTGCATTCAAACTCAACAATATACCATGGTATTTGTTCCAAAAATGTGACTCCCCCATTGATTTCCTAAATTGGAAGTTATTCCATCAAGGGAGAGGTCTCCATGATAGAAAAAAATGGAATTAGAATTGAATAAATGCAGGAGAGGTTTCAAATTGGTTTCCCCTTCTTTGATTCTTTATTTTCCACTTAGAAGAATAAATAGATCAAATGAGACATCAGAACTGGTCCTTTGCTATATATCTGGCAAGCCATCTGAAGGATGTGTTCAAATTCACCCACGAGTATTATTTTTGATTTAAAAGGAGAGAGAGAGAAAAAAAAAACTGAGCTTCTGGATTCTTGACATTTAAGGCATCAGGTCATAGATATATATAGTTTCAAGAATTAGCTGAAGCTACACATTGCATAGACTGAAAGTGGGTTGTATTCTTGGAACTCGGAACCAATCATGTTTAGCATTCTAAGCCCAGAATCCGTAACTATGCAGAGCAAATAATATTTTCCAAATTCTTTTTTCTAAGGGGGAGAGGGAGGAGAAAATGCCCACTGTGGGATTTCTGACAGTTTGAAAAATATTGACAGCTGTTAATGTTATGCAAATTAAAAGCCCCACTTTCTCTCCTTTTAATAGCTATTCTGCCTCATCATTCTAAAAAAGGGGACTGCCCAAAGCAACTAAAATAGGAATGTTCCAAGTTGCTAATTTCAGGGCAAAGTTTAATCTTAGCTTCCATTTAAGTATAATATCCTTTCCCCTCCTCCTCCTCCTCTATATATTTCTCAGCTACTCTCTGGACACGATTATTGTTCGCCCTGATCATAGAAAAGCAGATTGATGGGATTTCCTGATAGAAACCAGAAAATATTTGCTGGTTGGTGTTTTGTGATGTTCAGTGCTCCAAATACTTCCTCAAAGGACCCCTGTTAACAACAGTAATAAGGGAAGAACTTTCAATGGGTATTCATTCAAAACATGTTGTTAGATTTACAGCTAAGGTATAATTTAAATGTAAACCAACCTGGGTCAAGGGGTGAGAGGCAGAAGAGAGAATTACTGCTGTTTGAGTTGAATTTAGAAGGTTTGAAGAAGCCAATCTCTTGGAAGCTGCTAATAGAAGACTAATATCAGATATCACTAAACTAAGCAAATATTTTCATCCACATTCTTTTCCGCCCAATTCCATCAGCTTCTTGGCCAATGGGATGCTAATGCAATTCTTATTGCCTTCCTTTATGACTAACCTAGATCCCGTTGTCTTCAAATAGAATACAAACAAAACTCAATATTACTTCACAGTTCAGTAGGGTATTCACCATGTGTTTTTCGTGGTATGTATCTGCTGCTGAGAAACATGGCATCCACAGGTTCCTACCCTGTGAAAATTCAGAGCATTCAAGGTGAAAAGGTGTTTTTCTTACCCATAATATTTATTAAGTGGAAAGGGTAGGGTATATATTGTAGAATTTTTAATAGATTTAACTTCTTCTGTAATTTTTTCCAGCCTGTTAAAAGCAGTTCCATTCTCAGTCACGTGACCAGGAAGGAAGGGCAAAGGAGTCTTAGAATAGAGCAGAAGGCAACATTGTGAGCCCTTACCCAACTGTTTCTTCAATAGGGAAGTGTTGGAGAAAATGTTTCCTGGATTTTTTTAAATTCTTTCTTTCTTTCTTTCTTTCTTTCTTTCTTTCTTTC